CACGAATTATATATATATATATATATATATATATATATATATATATATATATATATATATATATGCTTAATAGTCACCCATTATCACAAAAAGAGTAGTGAGTACATTAGTAGGAAGGTTTGACACGTGATTTAAAATTCTTGTATTTATCTCTCTCCTAATCCTCTATTTATGCATTAACTAGAACTCAACCTTTCTGTGCCAAAAAATAGAACCTGAATTCTTACAATAAAATACAAAAATAAAAGACTACTGAGATAACTTGCGATATATGAATAGACAGGTGGAGAAAAGTAAAAACACAAGCAAAGTTAATTACGTAATTAATTTATGTACTTATTTGTATTTTACCAAGTGACATCATAGGCTCAAATGTACCAATGGGGATAAGACAAATGGTCTTTAAAGAGAAGAAATAATTATAAGACAGGCAAGAGAATTCACTTATTGGTAATTTTTGGTAAATTAGATTGTGACACATAACAAACATAGGTTCCGAGAATTTCTTGTTAGAAGATATGAGGTCCATATTTTGCCTAAAAAATAAAAAATTATAAAAATTCTATTAACCTTTTTCTAATCTTAAAAGCTTGGCTAGCATATTCGAGAGCATTTTAGTATCTACATCTTCTTATTTGACTTTCTAATTTGTAGGAATATAGGATTTTCTGGAAATACTATTAAATTCCATCTCTCTCTATATGTATATATAATCGACATATTAAGTAAATATTGGAATGTTTCAAACTCATTGATTCTAAATTCTAAATGTGTCTTTAACTACCAGTGGCGGATCCAGGATTTTGGATTCGTGGCTTAACTTTTTTTGACGTGCAGCTACTACCACTCACATAGTATAAGTGCATAACTATTTGAACATGACGATCAAAAAAGTTAATAAAAAACTCGTATTAATATTATAGACGCGTGTAAAGAAAAATGCAACGGGAGAGATTCTTTTTTATGGATTTTGCTACTCTAGTGATAGTGAAAAAGTAGTCTGAAAAGGAAATAAATAAAGTAATAGTAGTATTGGATAAAAAATGTAGCTAATGGATTAAATTTTTTTCTTAAAAAAAAATAATTGGCCCGAAAGGAAGAAAGTAAAATTGATCCCTGTTGAGAGTACGATTCGATCTCCCAACCCCCCATTCAGTAAAAGCAAACACTACCCTTGCTTGACCGAAGCATCCATTAGCGCTTTTGTGTTATGGTTGCTTTCTTATTTTATAGTATATCATTGGCCTAAAGTTTTCTGTATAACTATACATATTCTGTGGTGAGGTTAATGGGTGCTGAAGCACCCAAATTTTCATTAAAATATTATGGTATAGCCAGTTTTCACACTGGTCAATGAAAAATAGCCAGCGTTTATCAAGTCAATGAAAAATAGCCACTATTTTGCTGCAACAGGGACCGGTCCAGTATAATATACGGGAGTTCTGGTGCATTTGTGTACGAACTCCAGCATATTATGTTGGACCTGTATACTTTGCTAACTCCTGTAAAATTTGCGGGAGACTTGAGCACCGGTGCTCCAAACTCCAGTATATTATACTGGACAATTATACTTGCTGGAACTCCCGTAAAATTTGCGGGAGTTCCAGCATAATTATGCTTGAACTCCCGTAAAATTTGCGGGCGTATTTTTCTGGATTTTGAACAGTGTTTTCGCTCAGATTTAAAGTGGCTAAATTTCAATAACTTTTGAAACTTGGCTATTTTTCAACGACCAGTGGTAAATCTGGCTATTTTTGAATTTCATCCGCCCATGCTAACTACAGGCTCGACATGAAAATGTTTATATAAAAATAAGAAAATAAAAAGTTGGAAATCATAAAAATGGAATTTCTTCCTAGTAAATGTGGTTTTGTCAAAACTAGCTACCAAATCAAAAAAGAAAATATCTGCCTTTTCTTGTTATTATAGTTATAATGTTCAACTTTTATTTTTCCAAATATATTTTTGCATATAATTATAATTATATGCTCAACCACAATATCTACAAGACTACAACATACTTGCTTATTCCTCCCAAAACGAAGTAACTAAAGCAACATACTTCTGTTTGACATGCACATAGCAACAATTTTTGTTATTATTGTATTATTTTGAGTGTACATGCACAAACCAGAAATATAATCTAGCAAGAGTTGGACAAATATACCCACAAGTAAAGCTTTTTAGGCAGTTGTTATGCCCATATGGCTTTCCTTTGTATATTGATAATAGGCTATAAATCTATATATTTTGTTGTAGTTCACCCTTATTTGGTGTGTTTAAATGGTGAAAAATTGTCAATTGAGCTTAACATACGTTGGTCATTGGCTTAGGGCGTAATATAAAAGCTTCTAACCATGACTTTAGCTGCATGCTCGACCTGAGAAGGAAAGTAACACCATTGTTGAAGCAGAGTTGAGTTCGGAAAATTTTCAAGTCCATTTCACAAGACGAATCGAAGAGTTTTTCTCTACTTTTCTATTCCTATTGCTATGGATATTGTTTTGACTATGTTTATTGTGTTTTTGAGTAATATTATGAGTAGCTAAACTTATCATTTAGGATTTTGATGGAACCAATTGGTGGGTGAATTATTGACCGTGTTTATCTATAATTAAACCGTTCTGTTATCTCTGTGTTCAATTATATTTTGCTTGTGGTTAATTGAAGGGCTTTCAATTAAATGATTACATGATTAAATTATTGTTGAACACTTAGGAGTTTACAGTTTCATGTTCTATTTCACACCCCGGTGGAGGTTCTTTTCACCCTTCCTCACGGTACTACTTCGCTATCGGTCACCCAGGAGCTGTATTTAGCCTTACAAGGTGGTCCTTGATGATTCACGCGGGATTCCACGTGCCCCATGCTACTCGGGTCTGAACATAAGCTAGTGATGCTTTCGGCTACTGGACTTTCGCCATCTAGGGTGCAGCATTCGGTCTGCTTCGCCTAGCAACACAACGCTTGTATTGCTCTCCCACAATCCCGTTTTCACGGTTCTGAGTACTTGAGAAAGATTAAAGGAGAAAGATGGATGTTATTGCTCAAAGAACAGAAAAAAACTGAAACTAGAAAATGCATCTACTAATTACCCTTCTGACATCAGAATGAGCATCCTGCTAGCTTTTCAAGCTAATTATTACAAGAAACGCAGAAAACTTTTGTATGCTCTCTATATTACTATACACTTATTATTCAGATACAAAACTACAGCCATCTCAACTTTGCCTGACAAAAAAAAAGGTGTCTTTTTACCTATCCTGGATTTGACAATATTGATCTAACATCAAAACATAGTGACCTTCGCTCATTGCTGTACTGTCGATGGAAAACGCCATGCTATGAATATGTAAGTCATTTTCTTCAGCAGTTCAACCCTTCTAGGTAGAAGTAGGAAAGTGCCTCCTCGCCTCAAAGCCCTACAGGCCGCTCCTAAACAAAACATGATAGACCTCCTTGAACTGAAAGGAAAACATTCATTCCGCTTCCAGGGAGTCTCCAACAAGTTGGTCAGTTCTCTTTCTGCGAAATAAGGCCCTGACGATCGAGAAAAGTGCAATAAAAGCTACTTCCATGTGCTCAGAGCTGCTTGTCTTGATGGAAACCTGACCCATCTTCCGGTTATTGAGGTTTGCGCTTACTGACATGTTTGTACCTCGACTCACTCTGAAGTCAGTTTGCAAGTTTCCGCTCAACACTGTATCTTTGTTAAGCGAGAGAACTGTCATCGAGAGACTCAGACTTTCATTTCTCACTGGGTAATCTTTTCCTCTTAAAGTAGCTCCAAAGCTTCCACCATAAGCCGCTTGCCCAGCACCCCCCATCCGACCAGCATTCACAGTAAACTTCAGTCTCTTTCCAATTGAAAAACTATCTTCACACTTGGTACCAAGAAAATACTTATCCCCGAATGGTATTACAGAAATACCACATTCAGTGACATTATTTCTTAAGTTTCTTACCTTTGCACTACTGTGAATAGTGCAGATCAGCTCCTTGTTGGCAGATTGAATATCGAGACCTACCGCATAAGTGGGCCCACCTGGATTGGTGAATGCTGCAGCAAACTCGGATTGAATACTGAAGTCTCGTTTGTCCTTGCTCATTTGTCCATTGACTGAGGCAATGATGTTTTTTCTTATTTCTGCACTGCTCTCCAGGTTAATGCCATCAAAGCTCACATCATGGTCCCATCCATTGGTATCAAGCACTGGTCGTGCAAGCCACTGTTCGCTGGTAACGAGACACCTGTATCTGTGGACAGGGCAATCTGAATCGAAGCTTGGCGGAATAGCCATATCTGGCAACAGAACCGGCTCTGGAGAGCCCTCCTCCTGGTTATCAGACTCATCATTCGGGGCTTTACTCTCACTCGAAGAAACTCTCTTTTCTCTTCGCCTACGAGCTTCTTCTATCAGTTGTTTTTTCAAATAGAGGATTTCCCGGTAGTCTAATTCGTCAAGATAATCCTTCTTCTGGGAACCACTCAACCTTTCAAACTGAGACTTGGTCAGTATCCGAATAGGAGGTAATTGATAATATTCATCTTCATCATCCGAGTCTAAAAGAGGAACCTCGTCAATTTCATTCTCAGATCCACCGTGCCTTATCTGAGCACGATGCTTTAGAAAGGACGAGAGAAGATGTGGAAGAGAAGGCAATCGTCCGACATTTGATGGTCCCACCTTTAGGCTGTCTTCAAAGTCCAACAGGGTATTAACATCACTTAGAACTTTGGTGCATATGCACAGCAACAATAACTGAGACTTCCACGCCTGCCCATTAGGTAGAATTTTCTCTCCGGCATTATTGGTTTTGCAATTGGGATCATTCTCCACTAAAACTACAGGATTTTCAAGCTTTGTGTCAGAGACTGCCTGGTGAATATAATGTTGCACCAAATCTGTGCAGGTGGTGATGAAAGATTCATAGTTAACAGGATATCCATTTATCCCTTCGGGAAGATTGAAGGAAGAATGAGTCATGACAATGATGGTATTAAACCAAATTGCAGGACCAAAGACTTCCGTTATAAGCTTCAACAAGGGGAAATCACTGTAGCCTGTGTTGATCAAATCCAGGCGCTCAAAATACAGTACCATGTCAGGTTTAGATTTCCTTAAAAATCGTTTCACAGAACGCAAAATCTTCTTGTTTTTCCTGACATTACTGGGTGAGGGAGGCAGTAAACCAGGAGTGTCAATAAACGATACTCTGATGCCATTTACTGTTCCCGCAATCTCTTGAATACGGTCAGTAGCGGGCTTGAACGCGTTGGTTGTTGCTCTTGATTGGTCAAATATGGAATTTATGGTTGAACTCTTGCCAACTCCAGTCCTACCCAGTACAAGGATCTTAAATGAGAAATCCAATTGCGGTCGGCCAGCAGCTTCTTGTTCTGCTGCTATTACACGTGCTCTCTCAATTTTAAGATTTGCCCTTTTTAAATCCGATTCTCTTGCCCGTATCAGTGATGCCAGCTGGATTCGGTATAAGACCTTTGATACCAGCAGGTTGTCCTCGGACAGGCCAAAACGTTTAAGAAGCCGCAAGAACTTAATCTGAAGAGCTTCAATCTTTACCACTGGACTAGGCTTCTCATTGACACTAAAATCTGACTGAAAAGAATCCTCCACCATCCGTTGCTGTGAATGGAAATGATTTGTATTCTGCTGATTATCATTGGAAGATTGGGTTGTATTGGCTAATGCTGTTGTTGTAACCAAATCAGCAGTGTGAGCTGAACCAAAGGAAGAAAAGAACGGCATCAATGATTTGAGATAACAGTTAAAGAGGAGGAAATCTACAGTCAACTGATTAATAGTGAAGGCATATGGGCCAGCATTATTCTATAACATTCAGAAGATTCTTCCAAAACCATCCACTATTCATTTAACTAGAATGATGAAGTCCAAAGGGATATCCCAAAGTAAGACGCTATTTCAGTTGAAACTAACTAGGGTTGCCAACATAACAACCTTTACTACATAACAGGATCTGAAGGATATGTATATGCGCTCGCTCTTATCAGCAGATGAGCATTAAAACATGGTTTTATTTGCTGTCATTATCTTTTCACACATCAACAATAATTCTGGTCTCTTTGTGCTTCTTTTCGTTTTCAAATCACTTGATTATGGGGAACTACAGATATTCGAGATAATGAAAAGCTTTGGCGTAGTAATGGTATTTGATTTATTTCTTATCAGAACAAAAGAAAGTGACTTATCTTATTGAACGAGTAAAATATGCCCTAAGAACAAAATTTAGGGAGTACCATTGCAATGAACCGTTGCACTTCAGACGCAGACACATTAATGGTCTACATAAACAATAAACACACAACACATACAACAAAACTATAGCTGTAAATGTCACAGTTATTGTGATCAACAGACTAAATAACAAACAAGAATATAGGAGACTGCTTTTTGATAAACAATGATTGTGATGACTCTCTCTGCCTTTGACCACTCCTCTGTAAAAGGATACAAACAAATAAATAAGTAAATAAATAAGCTACTTTGCATCGAGAGTTGAAAAAATCTCGTACGCCCACGAGCTTAAATCATATTTGTTATTTCTACTTCTAATACTTGCATTTGATAATATTTGATTACGCAGTCCCAAAAACTACAGAGTTTGTTTTCAGAAAATGAATTACTTCCTTGGTCCCAATTAATATGACACTTTCTAGTTTGAGACTCCCAAAAATGTTTGACAGAGTTCACTTTCTACGCAACTCTCACAGATTTCAACAAATTTAAATTCATTAAAAAATTTCAAGATTTTAACTTCACCGTAATGTTTTCTCTCTCAAACTATCTTTTTACCAAATATTTTATTTTTGTTTACTATCACTAATACAATATATATGTCAAATTTTACATCTTAAAAACTCCAGGACTCAACTACCAATGTACCATCATATAAAATAGATTGGACAGGGTGCTGGGCATCTGGAATCTGGACTCAAACTGATATCAATTGGTTTTACCTTTGTACTCCAAAATGGGAAGCATGTAGTAATTGTTAAGTTGGACACTGGCATTTGTGCTCGGCAAAAGCCAAAACTTCACTTTTATCTATATTAATCAACACAAGAATAGTAGAAATGTGCAGTAAAATAATGAAGTAGAAGAGTCTCATTTTAATCGATTGTCTCAGTGTTATCAAAGGCGCGCTTAAAGCGTGCTTGTAACGACCCGGCCGGTCGTTTTTGGAATTTACGCCCCGATCCCCCATTAATTGCTTCCCCTAAGTTCATTTCTGCTATGTTGGTTTGCCGGGACGTTCGGTGTTAGGATTCGGAGTGTTTTGGGACACTTAGTCCCTAAATGAGAGCTTAAGTGTGGAAAAGTGGTTCGTAGTCGGAGCAGTGTGAAGACGACCTCGGAATGGAAATCCGATGGTTCCGTTAGCTCCGTTAGGTGATTTCGGGGTTGGGAGCGTGTTCGGAATGTATTTTGGAAGTCCGTAGCTCATTTAGGCTTGAAATGCCGAAGTTTGAATTTTATAAGTTTCCGGTCCGATAGTGAGTTTTTGATCCGAGGGTCGGATTGGAATTCCGGAAGTCACAGTAGTTTCCGTCATGTCATTTGGGATGTGTGTGCAAAATTTCAGGTCATTCGGACGAGGTTCGGGTAGGTTTTTGATTGAAAGCGTGTTTTGTTGGAATTTGAAGTTCTTAGGCTTGAATCTTTGATTAATTCGGGTTTCCGGCGTTGTTTTAGGTGGTTTAAGGATTTGTACAAGTTTGAATGAGATATTAGGTGTTATTGGTGCTTTTGGTTGAGGTCCCGGGGGCCTCGGGATGATTTCGGGTGGTTAACGGAAGAATTTGAGAGGTGTTGCAGCAGCTGAACCATTGCTGCTTCTGGTATTTTCGCATCTGCGGCTTGGGAACCGCAGATGCGGAGCCGCAGAAGCGGCCTGTCCATCGCAGGAGCGGAATTTGAGTGTTTCTTCAGTTTCCGCAGGTGCGGAAGTAGAACCGCAGAAGCGGTTACGCACCTGCGAGATCATGGTCGCAGATGCGGCCCTGGGTCTTTGGTCGAAAACGCAAAAGCGGTAGGAAATCCGCATAAGCGGAATCCGCAGGTGCGGTATAAGACCGCAGAAGCGGAGCCTGGCAACTTAAGGGAAAGCCGCAGAAGCGGCACTTGGTCCGCAGAAGCGGCTTGTCCGCAGAAGCGAAAATACCTGTGCAGATATAGAAATTTCGAGGGTTTGATTTCATAAGTTAGAAAAATCAATTTGAGCTCGGGTAAGGGCGATTTTCAGAGGATTTTGAAGAGAAGATCATTGGGTAACGTTTTCTTAATCCTATTTAGTTGTATTCCATCAATATCTAGTTAAATCCATCATTAGAATTCGAATTTAGGGTCAAAAATTGGATAGTTTGGGGAAAACTTCTTAGACCTAACTTTTGGATTTTGAGTGGGCATTTGACCTCCGATTTGGGAGATTTTTATATGGTTAGACTCGTGAGAGTACGAGGGTTCTGAAAATGTGAAAATTATTCGATTCCGAGACGTTGTCCTGAGGGGCGTTTGGGTCATTTTACCTATTTTCGCGCCTTAGCTTTAAATTTAATAGTGGAATCAGTAGGGCCCTGACCTTCCTCGTCACTACCCAACCGAGGTTAAGCTTGGCACTTACTGAGTACCGCCTGCGCATGTTTTTTTTTCATGTGCAGATCCAGGTACCTCTTCTCAGGCGCACTATCCTTGAGGCGAGGAGATACACGGAGACTTCGAGGTATATCTGCAGCGTCCGCAGACCGAAGAGTCTTCTTCCTTATTCTAGTTGTAGAGCTGTTATCCTATCATACTTTTGATGTAGATATTCTGGAGATTAGAGTACTTATGCTAATTCTATTAGCCTGTGTTTCCCGTGAGTTTCCAGGTTTTGGGATTGAGTTGTAGACTTCCGCATATCTTTAGAGTTGTATAGGCCGGGCGGCCTTATATTCAGTTGTTATTTTTCATATGTTCAGTTTTAATTGATTATTCCTCAAGTTAAATTGTTATTTCCGCGCTGTTAGGCTTACCTAGTTGTAGGAACTAGGTGCCATCACGACATGTTCATGGAGGGTGAACGGGGGTCGTGACAGTGCTTAAGCCCGGAAGCGAGGCTCAAAACATGTTGAGCGCTTTGCCTCGCTTAGCAGGTGCTTCAGTGTTGTCATTAAGGCTCTAAGGCATACTTTTCCTTGACAATGAGCACAATCCTGAAGAGGCGACACTAAACAATTGATATTTCACTTTATCATAAATTTTCCTCAATTTGTATGTCCATATATTTGGTATTCATGCTTATAGGTATTAGTCTTGGACTACACATACATATTTGGTAGTTTTCTCCATTTACGCCTTTCTTCACTAAAGCACACGCTTTATTTTCGCTTTGCGCTTGAAGCCCCAACAGACCTTGGAGCTTTTTTGCGCTTTTCGTCTTTGATAACACTGACTTGTCTGAATTGTAGCTCCAATTTGCTTTTCGACCTATATACGCTTCTAGTAGCAAAACAGTCGATCTCCAGGAAGATGTTATGACTGATTTGCAGTGCTCAATGATATTAACTATGGTTATATAGAGTATAAATTAATATTGCTCTCCTATTTCAGCCTAAGAAGAACTATAACTCACAAATCCTGAAGCCTAGGGCCATTTGGATTTATTAACTTCTATGATGTAAAAACCTACTCTAAAAAAAAAGAATGTAACAAGCCTACTTCACCTGAACAAAGAAAAAGAATGTACCAAAACCTATAAAGTCTAAAGTAAAATGGCATTACCTTACTAGGAAACAGTTAAAAAGTTTAAAAAGTTACTTACTCGAAAAAGTTATCCTATCTCCTTGTTGCATGAGAGGGCAAGATTTGGAGTCGGTTTCAGAAAGCATTATTTTGGATAATGTAGAACATCATTCAAAAACTGGGGAGATCTCAAGTAGATTTCTCACTTCTACACTAAAATTTCATTTGTCTTTTTTTTTTTTAATAACCGTGGTGTCCGAGCCAGCTTGCCATTAATTCCATGGGATACCTGCCACCTCCCACCAGCAACTGGTACCAGGTAACTCTGTCCACCAAAGGATAGAACATATGGGAAAAAATCACCTAGTGTTTTATCTCTGGGAATTGAACCTGAGACCTCATGGTGCTCAACCCACCTCATTGACTACTAGGCCACATCTTTTGCCTATTTTAAAGAGAAACAATCTCGTACTTCCTTTGAGTTTCTCTTAAATGGTTGTATATCTAACTTCTAAGAGCTGAAAACCAAACTGATAAAGCAAATAAAAATAGAACCTAGCATAAACCCCACTTGAATCCCAAATGCTGGAAAAGTAATTAAGTAATTTCCTTAATCTTAAGCCGCTTTTTCTTCCTTTCAATTTTGAAGCTATCCTAAATAGGGAATTACTTCGTGCCGCGAAATTTCTGCAACTTCCTCTATTTTCAATATTTACCTCTACTTTGCCGGTCAAGATTTAGCAATTCCTTTTTTTTTTTTATAAAGAATGTTTAGCCATTTCATTAAGAAAAGACTTCAATCCAAAAATCACATACTAGCTGGTTGTTATTAGGTTGTTAGAACTCTAAGCAACCTGATTCTTCAAAACGGGATGCTCCTTGCACCAACATTGTGGCTCTTAGCCAATGAAAACTACTAGCAAGCACACAAACTATCATGCGGGAGGGTACCAAACACTATAAATACACTACATGTTTTCAGGTCAATGTGCTAGTACTTTTTGGGAAACCAAAATAAATTATTTAACAAAAAAGTTGGCCAGGCTCTAAACTTGTCAAAGCTCCTAAAACTGATACATTGTTTAGTAACTTTTTTCCAACCACCATATCTTTAGTTTCATCTGCTAATAGAATCTATAAAATATAACCAAAGTCATTTGGTTAGCTCTTGCTTTATAGCAGAGCACATTTCCTGCGTAAACCTTTAGAAGATCTATGCTTAAGAGCATAGAGTACTTTCATCAGCTGGAAAGTCTCAATCGAACTCCATCAAAAAAATTAGACATGCTTTAACTACTGAAATGTTGAAGCTAGAAGACAATCAAAACACTGTTGCCATGCTAACTTACAATCATATTCCAATGAAATAGCAAATAATAAAGGTGAAAAAATTATTATAGCACATAATGGAGAAATACCTGGGTGATCAAACTCTTGATCAGGATGTTCCTCTGATAAAAAGCTATCTGATGCTAAAAGTGGTCTCGATGAGGCTACTGACTTGGATATCAACTGTGATAGGACCCAGTCCTTCAAACTCATCATGTTTTCTGCACAGAAGGACACGGATTCTAACTATATAATTCATCTTTCTTGCCCTTTGCAGCATAAAAGATAGGTGAGAACACCAACTGAAGATGTTCATAGAATTGCATCATCGCAAGTAATAGCATGCACCAATAAACAGACTTATAGAGAAATTCTTATATATAGGCTCGTGATTGGACCCGTTTGGAAAAGAGAACAATCTTAACTTCAAGAATAACCAAAAAAATGGACAATGTTCAGTTGGAATGTGAAAACGTGACTAAGTTAGTCCTAGTTACTTTCCGAGGCACGGGGGACTCTCGGACTGCTTGAATGAGAACACTATGTCAAAATAATTCCATGATAATTCATCCAAATTATTGGATAAAACATGGAACAACCCATATTTTGATCTTGTTGATCAGTTTCCTTTAGACTATCGTATTTCACTCTAATGTTTCACAATTGCAGAAATGCAAGGTAAGGCTGTATACTGTAGGCTCAACATGGTCCCCCTTCCCCGGACCCTGACATAGAGGGAGCTTAGTGCACCGAGTTACCTTTTAAATTTTTCAGACTTGCCATTTATTTGATGACTGATATTTCCTGCATAAACCATACTTACATACTAATCACAAAACATCAACCATGAAAACTATAAGAGTACCTAGTTTTATTTTGGAGATACCAAAAAAAAAAAGAAATCCAAAGTCAACTATGCTTTACTAGAACAAGGCAGCTTTACGAAATAAACTAGCATAGAAATAAATATAACAACAATACTATTTTATTTTTTTGTTTGATGATGATGGTGTCTGGGCCCGTGCACCTCGACTATCTTTGGGAGTAGCTCCGACTAGCACATGCACTAGGTAATTGTGTCCATCAAGGCTTGGACAAACGAAGAAATCAGCTAGTGTTTTTTGTTCAAGCTGAAACCTCGTGGTTATTCACCTACTCCATTGACAGTTGGGCCACACCCTTAGGTGCAATAAAGACAACAACAATTACAACAACTCATCTCAATCCTAAACTAGTTGGCTATATAAATGATAAATCTTCAAAATCCATTTGGACAATTTTATTGCAAAGAAACAAGTAAAAGTTCATAAAATTAACATCCAATAAAACAGAGGAGAGTAAAGAACACATGGTTAAACACATACCTGGTTAACACTTAATTCCAATCACCATTGAACAAGAGCTTCAGAATTACAAAAATGACCAAAAAATACAAAAACCCAAATTCCCAGACCAAGATTCTACTTTTCTGGTTTATTTACTGAGTTAAGCAAACCCCATTTGAGAAAAATCAAGATAAATCAAAACCCAGATGCTAAAAACTGGCAAATGGAACGAAATCAAAAGGGTATGAAATTGAAAATGAATTGGGTATTCTTGAAAAAAGAAAAAGATAGAAATGGGACCCTTTATACCATACTTAGGAGGGAGTTTTAGAATTTTGTTCTTTGATCGAAATTGATTTGTGGGAAGACGCGGTAGAGGGGGGTTTTGGTTTTTCAGATAAGACACAGTGACGATGTTGTATTGATTCTCCGCCCTAAAAATTCCCACATTTGGTTGACAAAATAAATATGTGCATTATTATAAATCTTTTGCATCATCACTTAAATTGATGAATAGGCAACTTTGCATATCAACTCTGATATGGTAAACCAATTACAATAATAATTTATTATAATAAATTAAATTATATTGAAAGTGTAAAAATTATTTATTAAAGTATAAAAGTAACTTATTGTTGTATGTACACAAAATTTAAATAAAAGATAATATTACTAGCCACTCTTGATTGATTTTTTTCTTTAATTTGTTTGGACTTTTATTATTTAAAGGAAAAATGTATAATTACCCCTAACCTATAACCAAAGTTCTAACTATACACTTTTTCTTTACGGAATTTCTCGTAACCCCCTAAACTTTTTCTACCTTAATTATTTGGACCTTACGTGCTGAGCTGGACTAGTACGTGAAAACACCGCCACCAAACGCGTAGTAAAATAAAGAAAAAAGCTTTAGCCTATACGAAATGGCCACATGTCGTTCTCGAAGCTGATTTGGAAGAACTCTCCTTCAAAACATAAAACGTTCTTCTTCCCCATTTTACGAGCCATTTTCAAGACTTTTGAAGCTAGGTTTTGTCTTCCAATTTTCTTTTGTTGGAAGAGGTAAGTGGATTTTTGTGTAAATTCCTCCCTTTGTTGTCATTTTTCTATTAGAAGTTTTTAATTTCTTCCCCAATTTTTGTGTATAAATCATAAGGTTAGGAATGCCAATCTGACCTTGAATCGAACCATTAACATATGGGCTTTATACTTGTTTTCGATCTATTAGTATCCAATTGCAAGAGAACAAAGAAATTTTTTAGGTCCAGCTGATTTTGTTAACAATCGAAGAGGGAAGAGGAGTCTGAACAATCGAAAATTTTTTTGGGTCTGATGGAACCGAAAATAAGAGTTAAAAAAAGATAAAAAGGGGAATGGGATGGGGGCCCATTATTTTTTATAAAAAATGATGTGCGTGTCTACACTGCTTGTAATTTTAACTGGGTACCAGTCCAGCTCAGCACATAGGCCCCAATAATTAAGGTAAAAAAAAAAGTTTAGAGGGTTCTAGGAATCCCGCAAAGAAAAAGTGTATAGATAAAACTTTGGTTATAGGTTAGGGGGTTAATTATGCATTTTTCCTCATTTAAACTCACTTTTATATATTTATATGTACAAGGAAAAAAATAATCTTCTATGATCAGTTACGATTTAAATAGGATAAAATGACCTTATAAAACAATTTTGTATTATTTTCCCGTTATGATTCATGCAAATTGACTCCCTAAAGAAGAATCTAAGAAGAACCACTTTTATTGAGTTGAATTCATGTGATTTTCAAACCAACCCAACTCAGTTGGTGGGTATAAACATAAGTTAGATTTATGATTTGGTGTTGTAATTTATCATTAATATTTTCTAAAATTTTGGTTATTACACACTTGAAACAAACATAAAAAAATGCCGTCATATCAAATTTTAGTTATCAAAGCATATTTGGTGTCTATTTATAATACAAGTTCAAACCATTATAATCTCGTTCGAACCAAATACATTAATCATGGACCAAATTTGGATATATTTTAACACCCCAATGTTGTAAGATAAAAAAGAAACTTTGAGTAAGTATTTGGTATGATAGAAGTCATTTTAAATCAAAACTATATTTTAAGAAAAACATTTTTCAATATTTGGTTGGTGATTGAAAGATCTCTTTCAGATTGATAAAATTTTGAGTCTTAAAATTTATAATATTGTTCCATAAAAATGCCAGTCATATCAAACACACTTTCATATTTTTCAGTAATCAAACACTAAAAGAATAGCTTCATCATTGAAACTCTCATCTTTCCTAAACAAATCTTTCACATTGAAAGTCAAATATATAACCATGTTCATATTTTGGTGGCCAAATATAGGAAAATACTATGCTTTTAGCATCTCATTTCAGACAATTTATTCAAAATATTTTGGACCAAATGTAATGTAGTCTATCCACTACTAGATTGTCAAACAGACAAATATCATCTATACAATAAATTTGAAACTATTCTTGATTTATAGTGTTTATACTTTTTTATCCCAAATTATCAATCACGTAGTGCTTTACAAGAGCCAAATTAACCAGTTGTTGAGATAAACACTCACAAGGTGTCACGATCCAGATTTCCCACCATCGGGAGTCGTGATGGCGCCTACTAACGGAGCTAGGCAAGCCAACTTAATTAACAAATTCATTAAACACCTGTTCCTTTTTAACAATTAACGGCATTAAATAAAGGCGGCGGAATTAAAATCATAAGCGGAAGACTTAAATGTAGATAGATGATCAATAATACAGAAGTTCCACACATATATCTCTACCCCGGGACTGGAGTCACATACTCACGAACATCTAAGGAGTTCTACATACAAAGTCTGAAAGAAACATAATCTGTTTATCTCGGGTACAATGAGATGACAGCCAAAATGTAGAGATAGAAGGGAGACGCCGGGCCTGCGGACGCCTGCAAGCTACCTCGGGTCCCTCTCTGGACTGAAGGTGCGCCCCGTGCTAATGCTGCTGCTGTTGCTCAAAACCTGGACCTGTGCAAAAATGCACAGGGTGTAGCATCAGCACAACCGACCCCATGTGCTGGTAAGTGTCTAGCCTAACCCCGGCGAAGTAGTGACGAGGCTAGACTGGACACCACATAAACCTGTGCAGTTATAAATATACAACGGAAACAAGATACCAAACAACTAACAGTATGGGAGGGGAAACATGCTGTGGGGAGATAACAAGATTAACAGTAAATCCGAAGTAACCAATCTAGGTGCAATTTACAATTTAAAGCGAACAAGAAACTAATACCAACACTAAACACATTTGCATCAATAACTGTTACGGCGTGCAACCCGATCCACAATTATCACTGTTGCGGCGTGCAACCCGATCCACAATTATCACTGTTGCGGCGTGCAACCCGATCCACAATTATAACTGTTGCGGCGTGCAACCCGATCCACAATTATAACTGTTGCAGCGTACAACCCGATCCGTAATGTATACCTCTCAACCTTGCCCAAGCAACAGTCACAAATAAAGGGCAAGGGAGTAAACAAGTATTTGGAAGGAAATCCCAACAAGGGTACACAAACAACCAATACTAACCATGCAAGAGTAAATCGTTATTTCTCTTCTTCTTTCATTTTCATATCTTAATTCTCATTAGCACTCGTGTCAAGATCTAAGGCCTTTCTCATTTCATATGCTCTCACCATTTGTATTTCAGACCGAGCCAATGCTCCACGAAGTTCCACAATCACAATATCTTTCACAAGGTGTCTACAACGCATAGAAGCCATCTATAAAGCATGGAAGGTATAAAAATATCCAAAAATCTTCATATAAGGACATCACGGTCATGCTAAACTCCAATGTATAGGAACTCGTCACCACGCCTATACATCGTACTCGATCATTAAGCAATTAGCAAACAAGACTCGACTCCTATTCCCTCAAGCTAGGGTTAAACCAAACACTTACCTCAACTTCCGCGGCCAATACAGTCCTCCACAACCGCTTTCCCTCTCGAATTCGGCTCCAACTCGACCAAATCTATGCAATAAGGACTTCATGATATCAATGTGTGCTAAACAAATCAAACCCAATGACTAATTATAGCTTTTTCTTCAATTTACCCCTAAAGGTCAAAAATGCCCCCGGGCCCACATGGTCAAAATCCGAGGTTCGAACCAAAACCCGTTTACCCATTCCCCCAAGAACTCAAATATGTAAGTTATTTTGGAATTGGACCTCAAATTGAGGTCCAAAACCCCCAAATTTTGAAACCCTAGTTCTACCCTAAATTCCCAAGTTCCCCCATTAAAACCTTTGTTTTGAAGTTGAAATTATGTTTAAAGATGTTAAGAAGCAATGAAAAATAAGTTAGAAATCACTTACCAATNCATAATGATCTTTTCTCTCATCACTTTTACTTCACAATTCACTTCACAACTCGAGCCAATGCTCTAGAGGTTCAATTATCACTTATACTTTCGCAATTCGCTATACAACTGGAGCCAACGCTCCTCAATATCCATAAGTCACGATTCTTTCCACATCATTGCACAACAAATAGAAATAATCACCAAGGCATGAATAATACAAGGAAGTCATGGAATTCACAATATAGGACCCACGGTCATGCTAGACACCAATGTATAGATACTCGTCACCATGCCTATACATCGTACTCGACAATTAGCAAGTAGCAAATAAGACTCTACTCCTATTCCCTCAAGCCAAAGTTAGACCAAACACTTACCTCGAAAGCTCCAAACTCAACTCAAGCCTCTAGTATAGCTTTACCCTTCCGGATTCACCTCATGACCGTTCGAATCTAGTCACAAATTACTCAAATGTATCAACAAATGCTAGTTAAACCAATTTGAAGGCATAAGAATGAATTTTCCAAAGTTTTGCCCAAAAATTCCCAAAATGCCCCCCGGGCCCACGTGGTCAAAACCCGAGGTTCGAACCAAAACCCAATTACCCATTCCCCCACGAACTTAGATATATAAGTTATTTTGGAATTGGACCTCAAATTGAGGTCCAAAACCCCCAAATTTTGAAACCCTAGTTCTACCCTAAATTCCCAAGTTCCCCCATTAAAACCTTTGTTTTGAAGTTTGAAATTATGCTTAAGGATGTTAAGGAGTATAGAAAATCAGTTAGAAATCACTTACCAATCGTTTTGAAGGAGAAGGATCGTTTGGAAAATCGCCTCTTATGTTTTGGGTTTTGAAAAAGTGTAAAATGACTGAAAATCTCAGATTTATATACTTTGCTGAAGGACTGGCGCGGACCGCGCAAAAATGCCCCGCGGCCGCGCCGAGGGAGGGAGGGAAAACAACTCTCTGAACCTACCCAGCGCGGACCGCACGATTTTGGTACGCGGCCGCGCTGGCGTCTTGCACCTGGGGCCTTCTCTGAATCTCCCAGCGCGGACCGCACGAACTTGGTGCGCGGCCGCGCTGGT